AAATTTAATTGGATAAATTTTATTACTTCTAATTCATTAGACTTGTCAAAATTATCAGCATCAATAAATGACCATTAAACACATGAATACTTTTTTCCATTTATTAAATCAAAATTAAATGTTTATAGTGGAATATTTCAAAATAAAATTATGAAATTTCTTTTTTGTTTTTTGAAAAAAGAGAGAGGAAAGAAAAAAGATATCATAGAATGGGTTAATGATGAAAAGATCAGATAAACTATGAAGTTGAATCGATCACATTCCATTATCGTTTGGAAAACAATTCGATGAAATGTTTTGTTCAGTATCAGTAAGAGGAAGTACAACCAACTAATGAAAAATTTTTTTTTCCCTTTCATCTATATCATTTAAATATTTAGCAATTATTTTTTTTCTTTTCTTTTGTTTGACAAAATAAAAGGCAATGAAATAATCTATGACATTTGACATGCAGAATTTTTAGAATGAAAAAAGACTTCCAACATTATCCGTCAAAGATTTGAAAAGGTTGAAAGTCAAGTAAGCATTTACTGGCAATAAATTATTACAATGCTACGAGTATTAATTATCGTAGAAAATTATGTTTATGCAAAATTCTAGGAGAATTTGGGAATTTTTTTTTCTTGATAATGTTTGTTTTTTATTTGTTATCAAGGTTATCACTTTGTCAGTGAAAAAGATGAAAATATGGGAAAATAAATAAACTATTATCAAAACAATATTTGCAAAAAAATTTTAAACATTTTATCTTTGAAATTTGTAATTTTAAAATTCGAAGTTGTTAAATTAAATGGGAAGTTGAAAAATCAGTTTCTGATATCAATTGCAATATGAATTACCAGATCTGATAATATTATTATTTTTTCCTGCTTTGTAATGATATGAAAGGCATGAAAAGAAAATTTTATTATGATTTATTCTTACAAATTCTTTTCTCGTATTTTACTTTTTGTTTGTTATTATTGTCGTTCCTATTTCTTGCTTGTTGATTATGCTATCATAGTAATAGGCCTTATCATTTTATCGATGGAAGAGATGAAAAATATGAGAAAATAAATAAGTTATTATTGATCGCGACATTTCTTATCATTCAAACAATTTTGCATGGAATGATAATTCTTCAGAAGATACGTAAAAAGGTTGCTGCACGAGTTGACAACTGCCTTGTAATATAAAACAAAGGAAAAAACGAAAAAGAAAACTGAGTGGAAGAGCTCCCAGAGATTAATTAATCAAATGATTTAAGTATTAGGAAAAAAATTGCCTAAAATAAGGAAGGATAATTACTTTGCCACTTTATAAAGTGTTAGAATTTTAGAGAATTCACTGAATTTAGTAAAAAAATGGATAAATTTCCTTTTTTTTTTGGAACAAATACATGCCATGGAAATTTTCATTCAATGAAAAGGCATAACAAAAGGAAAGTAATAATGAGGGATTATTTTAATGAATTATTGAGATCAAAAGTCATGTCGAAATATATCGGAATTGGAATTGCAAGACAAACAGCTATTCCAATTAAACTACTCAAACAAATTTTGTCGTCCAGTTTCAAAGAATTTTTTCGATATTTTAAATTTCACTTAAATATTTATTTGAAACAAGTTTATCTGTTTACTTGTTTGTTTGTTCGCTCCTTCCCTTTTTCCTTTTCTTTCCTTCTTCCTTGGTTGAAATTCTCATAAAATAATGATGGAAATTCCCTCCAAATGATGGATATATATCATTATCCTCATTTAAACAATTATTTTACAAAAAATGAGAGATAGGAGAGAGAAGAGAGAGAGAGAAAAAAAAATCAAAATTTCGCACTCTGAACGTTATCATTTCACTTCAATCTTCGCACTGAAATAATTTGTTCCATATTTTTCAGCATAAAATCTGGATAATATTACTAATATCTTATGCTATCTTTTACTTAAGATAGTTGACAAAAGAAACTATGAAATAAATTGTCTGCTAAAGCAACAATAACAATAGTAACAACAACAACAACAATAACAATAACAACAACAACAACGACAACGATAACAACAACAACAATAACAAATAACAGGAACGATAAATACCGACTATAATATTATAGTTTCATAGACCATCATTCAGTGCTATCGTTCCATATAGATTGAAACAAATATAGATTGAAAATAATGTACTACTCGTTGAGTTAATTAAACACTAATTATGATTCATTAAATCGATTCAAAAAAAAGAAATATTCGAACTTATTTTCCTATTTCATAAACATATTATATTTAAATCTTCGATTCCTTATACTGTTATGTCTGGATAAAATCAATAAATTTTATACAATTTCCTTTCATAATTTTCTTTTTTGTTCAATAAAACAGCTTTCATTTTTAATTTTTAATCTTTGATCAATAATGATAAGGCAATATCATTTTTCACAATCACTTCAATAATTTATTTCAAATCTTGTCTCATGAAAACTGCAAAATTTATTTAAAATTTTATCTTTTCAATCTAATAAATGTTATTTGATGTTTCTATTCCGGATATTATTACGCAGAAGAGTGAATGGACGACAAATTTTGCACAGGTGAAATTTATGAGAAATCGTAAGAACATAAATTTTAAGAGAGAAAGTGTTTGAGTTGGATTATTATCATTTGGGTAATAAAATCATTACGAACAATTGAAAAAATACGAAAAGAAGAAGTAGGCATTATTATGAAATCAAAGATGAAATTAAATTAGGATGTTATGAAATTTAAGGAAAAACAATTTGCAATGAGGGAAAAAAAATAGCATGCCGAGGAAAATATCGTCACTTTCCGTGGCATTTATGCAGCCAAGATTAATGGCATTACCAGATAATGCTATCAGTTAAATATTACCGAAGGATTTACCTGGTAAACATAATCAGGTAAACAAATTTACAAAAATAAACACCTAATAAAGAGTGTTAATGACTTAGTCAATATTGGAGTACAAATGAGTCTGCTATATTGGATACTCATATAAAACATTTTAAATTAATCGAGAATGAAGGCATGCTATAATTAGCAAATATGTTATGAAATTATGCATAATTATGATCGTTTTTTCGCTTGCAGGAAAAAAAAGTAAGAGTTAATGAATAAAATGAAAGCGACATAAGTAATTAAGCGGTGGTATAATTCATTAAAGAGAAGACTTACCGAATGTGAGTCATATTGTGATCCGTAGGTTGATGATGATGTAGGATGATAATCGATACTTTGAGCAGAATAAGTGGAATAAATAGAAGGAGATGATAAAGTTACTGATTCATAAATTTCCAATTTTGGACTGAATGGTATCAATGGTGCTGGATGAAAGTCATTGTAAATACCACGATTTCCAGAGGCTGATAACAAATAGTGCTTGTTTTTACCGTTGTAGGCAATAGATGAAATATGATTTGAATTTTCATATATATGATGGGTTTGCAATGCCGTATCAATAGGTTGTATGAAATCAGTCAATTCGGCACCACCAGCAAATGGTGGTATTAGTCCTACTCCGGATAATTTCACACCACCGTATTCACCGTTGTTCTTTGAGTTTGTTTGTGAATTATGGTAGGGAATATCTGGGGGAGGCAATGGAATTGGATTTTGAGGTTCCTGAACGCCCGGTCCCATTACCTTAATTCCAGTATGCAATTTGGGAAGTTTCAGTGTAGTACTCTCTTGAGAATTACGATTTATCCGGTTATTACTACTCGAAGGATTATTGCTTAGCAGAAGCAGTGGTGGGGGTTGCCCATCGTTGGTGCTATTTTCCTGTGGTATGTACAACGATATGGCATCATTATTTTTCAAACAGTCACTGCTGTTACAATCTTGTCGGTTCGTTAACCTTGAAAAATTTAACGGGATTGATTTCGGAACCGGAGGTGAACCAGTTAATATCATATTCTGTGTTTGTTGAAGCAACTTTGATTTTCTCTCCAGCGTTTGTTGTTGCTTGTCCCCAATGGTGGTCATACGACCCAGAAATCGAAATCCCGCAAATCGATCCTTACCGATTTGCATGTTTCGATCAGTTGATGCATCATTTCCCGTAAATCTTTCGCTACTTATTATATCATTCTCATTTCGAATATTGTTAGCTTGTAAATCGTTCGATTTTCTACCTCGTCTTAAATCACGTAATCGTTGGACAAGATAACTGCTAGCATTCCGTTGTATTCGCATTCCAGTAGAAATACCTTCCGGACCATACCGTCCTGAAGATGGAAATGAATCGGCAAATTGTATAGCCTCTACCCCAGTACCAATGATAACAGTTATTAAAATAATTATAATAGCAGGAATGACTGATAGTAATCCCATCGGAAGTAATTGATGATGATGATGATGATGATGATAATGATGATGAAGCAAGTAACAGCAACGGTTGCCGAACATAGCACATGTTCCCCGTAATACCGCCGTCTTCCACGATCGCATAAACGGAACACCAACAAAAAGACGGTTCGTTAAATTGTATGTTGCTGTTATCGTTATGTGTGGTTATTCTTTTTTTTTGTTTTTTTTTCTTTGAGAATTACCAACTCTCTCTAACAGCAATAACAGTACGTTTGCATAACGATTCAAACAATAGCGCTGATAAGAATAAGAACAATGCCGCGCATTAAGCACACATTTAAATTGATAAACATGAAAATGCCGGAAAATAAATGAGCCAAGAGGAATGCTCGTCGCTCCGTTCGTCTCGGTCCGTTATGTGATTGGTGATAATTAGTGATAATGTTGCTGATAAGATAGATATTGATAATACGAAGGGCTGTGTGTGAAAAGGTCTTTTTTTCTCTATTTTAGAAGTTGAGATGTTAATGATAGCTAGTGAAGGGAAATTACAGTTGTAATGATCGTAACTGATAACGATTATATCAGTAATGCAAGGTCAGGATAGAAGAAAGGAACTTATAAGAAATCTTCCAAATAAAATTATCGAGATGATCTTAGTTTTCGGCACAAAAAACGACGAAAAATAAATAAACCTTTTTGTTTAAAACAGAATTAGAGTGGTACTAATAGTTATATCAAACAGTAATACTAATACTACTACTACTAGTACTACTACTACTACTACTACTA